TTTACAAAATGAAGGAATAAAAAAATAAAACAAAACACCAAAGAATTAAAATGAATTTGGGGGTATTCCTTCTGAATGTTTCTCGTTTGCTTTTCCTCCAGATTGCCTGGAGAGCATGATATGCGAAATAACGTCAGCACCGGCCGGCAGAGAATGAGAGACCCCTGCTAATGGAGAGGCGCTGAGAATTCACGAAGAGAGAGTATTTAAAACTCCACGCGAGGATGCCCCAGTCTTCCCACACTCGAGAAGAGACCCTACCAAGAGCCCCCAGAAATCAGGCAGCTCTTCCCAAAGCTAAATACACTTAACGAGGCAGCCGGGGCCTCCTCAAGCTCGGGACTTGGGAATCATCTTCATTCACCGTCAGCTTTACCCATCCAGCCATTGGCGGGCACCCTCTCCGCGCTTTATGGAAGATCAAACCTACCTAAGTTCACACAGGCGCTGCTGCCCACTCCTTGCCTGCGGTCGGCCAGAACTCGGAACCGGCTTCTTCTTCCGCCGGAAGTCACTGCCCCGACGTGTAAGCGTTTCTAGTCGAGCAGTTGTGGCAGTGGCACCACTCAAGCGACGCTCCACCCGCCGTGACGCGGTCGCTATGGTAACTAGTCACCGCTTCTATGGAGTGGCGTTTACTAGCAGTAAGTTCGCGTTGAAGAAAGGTGCCTCTGGCTTCGTTCTAAGTCTCTCTTGTCCTGGCTCCGCGACTGTCGCTTCTCTCCTTCTCCTCAGCGAGCACCCCCCCTCACCATCCCAGGCCTTCCCTCCGTTCTTCAAAGCGTCCTCCGTTTACCCTACCCTGAGCTACTCTCAATTGTTTCGTTTGGCGCTTGAACTCTGAGAGGTATGCGGGGGCAAAAATGTGAGAAAGGTGAAGAGATCTCATGACACCCTCGTCCCTACGGTTCCTTTATAATGTTCTCATTCGAAAATTAAGAGAATTAAAACCTATGCCGGGTAAGGCTAGATTTGCGGAGGATGAGGTCGGTTTAATTTTTTTTCTCCAAAAGATAGTCGATATAATTATTAATATTTCTTTTAGACCTTAGCAACCAACTTACAACATAAAAAACGTTCCAAAATTCTTTCACGTTTGCTTTCGCTTCGCTTTCACTTTAACCCAGTGAGAAAAGTAAGGCAGGTGCTATTATTCCCACTTTATAGATGAGGAAAGAAATTAAGGCTCAAGGCCAAACAGCTAGCAGCAGAACAAGGACTCAGCAAGTCTACCTATTCCCAGGGCAGCTATGCTATCTTTCAACTTTACAGAAAAAAGCGGAATGAACTGCTCTTCTTTGAAGCAGTTGGGGGCCACTACAAATAGGCACTGTTGGGGTTTGTTGTTGTTGCTGCTGCTGCTGCTGCTGCTGGTGTTCTTCCCTTCCCTCTTCTCGACTTTCTTGATTCCTGTGTTTCCTTTTATTACTTCTTCTTTGTGCTGTTTACATTAACACCACTTCCTTGCATTGTACCTGGCGATAAAAACTACATCTGATTTTTGGCCAGCATGACATAAATTTCACTTGGAGATGTTAAAGTGGTTTTGTTGTTAACTGCTTAGATTTTGCTTTCCTTTTTTTTTTTATCGTTCTCCTACCAACCTGAATTAGAGAAGCAGTTAAGATAAAGTTAAGCAGAATAAATAAAATAATTTAATATGATCAATTATTTAATGATGTTATGAACTATAAAGAATAACTGAATGAAACAAGCAAGTTTAAAAATCTAAAGATGAAAGTATAGATTAGGTTCTCCACAGAATTTTGTCATGTTTAAACACATACAAAGAGCATCTGGTTTTAGTCCTGGCTCCATCATACTTTCTTGCGTTGCTTTATGGAAATACCTGAAACAATGGAATTAAGTGGTATCATGAATGCTTTCCTAAACAGTACTGTCAGAATGATGCCCCCTTGAAAATCTCTAGCCCTCAAACTCCCCTCTATCCACTGCTTGCTTAGGTCTTCCCTGTATAGGTAGATATGCTCTGGTTTTTTTCTTTTTTTTTTTTTTTTCAGCAAAAGCACTTTATTTTGATTTACTATTCAGTTAGTTTATTGTGTTACCTCATTTATTTATTGGGGTTTGAAAATAAGAAATAGATGTTTTTTCCCAGCATTCCCAAATATTTTGTCATTTCATCTCTACATACTTTTGTTTGCATCCCTAAAATGTACCAAATTTTTCTTTTATCTCCATAATGTCATTATTTAACTGTCATGCAATATCTAGACCTTATTTACATTTCCACAGTTAATTCAAAATGTATTTTTCTGGTTGGTTTGCTTGACTCAGAATCCAGACAAAATTTACACTTTCCATTTAGCTGTTCCCTTAAATGTCTTTTAAACTATAACAGTCCCACTTCTTCACTACAGCCTTGTTTTTTTTTCTTTTCTTGCCATTGGCTTATTGAATGAGACCAATTGTCTTATACTCCATCTATCTATCTGTTTGTACCAAAATAAAACAATTTTTACATAAATTTCTGATCATTAATCTTCCTTCATTTTTCATTTTCTAGAGTAGTAATTTCCAATAGAAAAATAATGTAAGCCACAAAAGCAACCTACCTATGTGATTTTAAATTTTTTAGTAGTCACATTAGACACATAAGAAACAGGTAAAATTAATTTTAATAATATATTTTATTTAATCCAGTATATCCAGAATATTACTTTAAAATTCATCAATATAAAAATTATTAAGGAGATACTTTACATTCTTTTCACCTACTAAGTCTTCAAAAGCTGGTGTATACTGTGCTGGAAGACACCTCAGTTTGAACTAGCCACTTTTCAAATGCTCAGTAGCCACATATGACTAGTGGCTACTGTATTAAGCAGGGCAGGTCTAGAGAATAAAGTCCTAACTCCTTAACCGGGCATTCAGGTTTCCTCTTCAATATGATCTTTGCTTTCCCAGCCTCGCCCATTATCTCCATACATGAAACATTCAAACAATTGGATCTTTTAATGGTACTGAAACCAACCCAATAGTCCCATAAATAGGTTTTTTGTTTTGTTTTAAATAAACATAGAAATGGATACTTCCTGCCTGAAAGCTTGAAACTTGCATTTGTTTTATCTTTTTGTTTGTTTGTTTGTTTGAGACAGGGTCTTGCCCTGGTATCCAGTCTGGAGTGCAGTGGCACAATCTCAGCCCATTGCAGCCTCTACCTCCCAGGCTCAAGCCATCTGCTAAGTCAGCTTCCCAAGTAATTGGGACTACAGGTGTGTGCCACCATGCCTGGCTAATGTTTGTATTTTTTTTTTGTAGAGATGGAGTTTCACCATGTTGGCCAGGCTGGTCTGGAACTCCTGAACTCAAGTAATCTACCTGCCTCAGCCTCCCAAAGTGCTGAGATTACAGGCATGCACCAATGCACCCAGCCACATTTGGTTTATTTTTATCTGAGTTCTTTCCTCAAGAAAGGATGCCCAGACCTCTCAAAAAGTATCAAAGAACTGAAACCAGATTACTGCATCTAGACAATGAGATGCCAGACTCTTCATTCCTCATTATTGCTTTTTTACCCCTCCCTAGTTCATGTTTTCTCATACATAGTTAACATTTCTTCCGTGCTATATAAACCCCTAATTTTAATCAGTGAGGGAGATGAATTTGACACTGATGTCCCATTTCCTAGGCTGCAGCATCTGATTAAAGCCTTCTTTGGCAATAATCATTGTCTCAGTGATTGGCTTTCTGGGTGCCAAGCAGCAAGACCTAGATGGAACTCCTGGTGTTTTGGTAACAGTGTTTCATCAATCATTTTGTTCAAATGGTTCTCCTTACTTATAACACCCTAATTCTTTTCTTCCTCCTATCAGACTAATTCCTCCTTTAAGGCCTATCTCTTCCATCAAGCCTTTTATGATGGCCTGGTCCTTCGAAATTACTACCACCTCTCAACTTTCATAGCAAGTCCTTTGTATATCACAGTATATTGTTTTCCTTAGACTGTATTCAGATTCCCCAGTTGGGTTGCAAACTTTCTGAGAGCAAGAACACCTCTCTTCAGAGACACTAAGAACCAGTTATCTTGACTCTTTCTCTGAAGTTCTAATGATACATAGCTTTAATGGGTTTGTTTCTCAGTATCTTATTTTCAGAAGGCAATTTATGCATTTTATGTAAAACTAATATAGCAGAAACATAAACTGTTAGTATCATGGTTAAGGGCATGAACTCTAGGGTCAGAATATATATGTTTAGTACAGGCTTTTCCTCTTACTGGCTATATGAATTGAATTCATCTTTGTGCTTTGGTTTCTTCCTCTAATATGGGAGTAAATAGTATTTTCCTTATATATTTGTTGTGAGAATTAAATGAGATAGTTGTGCCTGAAGGTAGTAAGTACTCAGTAAAGGTTAGCTATTGTTGTTATTAATTAATATTTGTTGATCTGTTTTGATATATTAGAATATTAGACATTCATAACAATATTTTAGGAATTTCCAAAGAGAGGAAATGAAAGCGAGACACAATTAAATTGGAAAAATAAAATCAAACTGAAATATTTGTTGAAATACACATTTGGTTGGACTTCAGGATAAATTAAAAGTATAGATAAAACTTTAATTTGTGTCATCAGCATCTGACATAACCAAGGTAGGCATACATTAAATATTTGATTCCAAGATGATTGATCAAGTACTATAGATGTAGATAGATGTATCAAGAGTTTAAGATCTTTTGTCATGGTGATAGCAAAAAATGACATCTGTTATTAAATCTATCACTTTAGTACATGCCTGCCCATAAGCTAATGTCCATCAGACATTCACAGATTCTTAATTTTATGTCATATTAGTCAATTGTGCTTCTCATTGCTGGATAATACTTGAAATATATGTATTTATTTATATATATATATTTATATATTTAGTTTAATATATATATATATATATATATATATGTATTTTAGTGTAATTCTGCTAGTTATTTCCTCTCCTAGGATTATATTTACTTGGCTCTTTTGGTAGTTCCATCGTCAATTCCTTCATTTCCTTTATTTTTATTTCTGAATTTTAAGATTTTGATACCAGTGAACTAAGCTGTATTTAAGTACCATGGGACATTATGGTTATGTTCTGAAATTGAATGATTCCCTCTAGAGCAACTTAGAATCTACTGGGAAATAGAAAAACCACCAAGAATTAGCTAGATTATATATATACAGCCTTCATTCATCTATTCACACAATCAACAAATATTTGCTGAGTGTATCTTATGTACTCCACACTCGGTTAGTTACAAGAGACACAAAACAAAGTTGACTGTAGTCGTCTCAAAAGCTTAGTTTATCTGGGTAAACAGACATTTAAACAGGAACTGAAATAACTATAGGAAGTGCTATGCCAGAGGAAATACCAGGTGCTGTGGCATTAATTAATAACTTGCAGATACACCAATATGTAGAACAGATTACTTGAATGATTGAAATCCTTGAATCAAGATGAAGCTAATCCAGGAAGATGTATAAAGTGTTAGTTTTAAATAGTGTTTTGAAGGAATGGAGAGGTGAATGACTAGAATGAAAAAACTTCCTGTCTTCTTTTTTTGGAAGGTTAGCATAAAGCTTTAGCTAGTATTGAGAATCAGCTCTAATGAACAATCCTAGCTCATCTTTTAGAAATGGTTTTCATTTTTGCATTTTTCCCTTTGTTGGTTGTCTTAACTCAGTCTGTTCTCTCCTTTGCCATTTCAACAATAGTCATCATCGATGAACTTTCGTTGAGTTTGTGCAAGGCAGTGGGCTAAGGAGGAGAGAAATAGGAAGAGGTAAATACTTTTTTGTGGAACCACACTTGCTACTGTGTTTTTCTTGTTTTTTAGCATTATGTGTCAATTATTTCTAACTTTTTTCCTATCTCTTATAGGTCTTTATCTTATCTAGGATGTTTGGTCCTGTTTTCCTATCTGCACATCTGATGTTTGAATCATTCTATGAGCCTATTAAAGATATTGTCTGTAATCCATCTTCTGTTTAATAATCATACAAATACCAACTTGTTTTTCCCCCATTCACTTCTTTTTTTTTTTTTTTTTTTTTTTTTTTGAGACGGAGTTTCGCTCTTGTTACCCAGGCTGGAGTGCAATGGCGCGATCTCGGCTCACCGCAACCTCCGCCTCCTGGGTTCAGGCAATTCTCCTGCCTCAGCCTCCTGAGTAGCTGGGATTACAGGCACGCGCCACCATGCCCAGCTAAGTTTTTGTATTTTTAGTAGAGACGGGGTTTCACCATGTTGACCAGGATGGTCTCGATCTGTTGACCTCGTGATCCACCCGCCTTGGCCTCCCAAAGTGCTGGGATTACAGGCTTGAGCCACCGCGCCCGGCCCCCTCCATTCACTTCTTTACCCTTTTCTCTTATGACTACTCTGGTTTTTCTGTGCACTTTCAAATTACCCTGAAGTTTGTGGTAATCTCTTCTAGTCACATGGGGATATGCGTTTATATACAGATGCTCCTTGACATGTGACTGGGTTATGCCTGATAAGCACATTTTAGGCTGAAAATACTATTAGTGCCTTAGTACACCTAACCTACTGAACATCATAGCTTCAGCTAGCCTTCTTTAACTGTGCTCAGAACACTTACTTTAGCCTACAGTTGGGTAAAATCATCTAGCACACAGTATTCCATAGAGTATTGGTTGTTTACCCTCAGAGATTGCATGGCTAACTGGCAGCTGCTGCTCCCTGCCACTGCCCAGCATCATGAGGGATTATTTTACTACATCACTAGCCTGGGAAAAGATCAAAATTCAAAAGTCAAAGTACGGTTTCTACTGAACATGTATTAGTAGAATACACACCATGTAAAGTTGAAAAATTATTAGTCAAACCATCCTAAGTCAGGGACTGGCTATACTGTTTGTTAAAGCATGCTACTTTCTCTACTTTATTTTTTTAATACTGAATTTTTTTCTGAAAAGTTTATTTTTGGCATGTAATTGACTCAGGGAAGAAAGGTTAATCTGAATGATCAAGGGGTGTTAATTTGTGGGTTAAAATGTGTTAAACAGTTGATTTGAAATTTGTTTAAGTCAATTAGAGAGTATAATGAAGATGTTTCCAGGGTGTTATGGAACCTTTTGAAGTTAGTGTGGAATTCACTAGTGTATATTAACTATGGCACCTGGCTAAACATGCTGTTGCATTCAGGTTTTTAAATTTGTGTGAATTCTAATAGATATGAATAGGTCAACATATGTAGAAGTTTGACTTTATTAATGAGCCTCATCTTTTGTTATAGGAAATTAAAGTCATGACTTCATTCATCATTAGCAATGGAAAACTTAATTAGTATCATTGTTATCTTTGTTACTTGAATATTTTTCAAAATAAGGCACTGACTTTTAAAATAAGATTAGTGTTATTTTTATACGTTTTTAAATGCTAAGTATGTCATATGGAAAAGTAGGATTCATAAAGGCATACGAAATTTTGTGTGCTCACTTAAAGAAATGACTTATTTCCTCCCCTAAAATTATATGAAGTAAAATTGTGAAACATTTTAGTGTTGGTGAATATTTTCAAAGATTTCAAAATACTTAATGTTATTACACACAGTTTAATATTATTATGCTCAAATTCAGTCATCAAATGTAATTTTTGTATGATGATAGCATTATTTAAGATGAATAAAGCATTGCAACTTCATCAGTTTAAATCCACAAGAGATATGAGAGTAAAAATCACATTTTAAAACACATTCTTCACTTAGCATTAGAGTTACTATATTTTTTTTATTACTTATGTCAGTTTACTAGTAATAAACACATTTAGCATTTCAGCTTCTTGAAACCTTTCAGTTTAATTATTTAGAGACTGAGAAAAACAAGTCTTGTATGCTAAAGGGATTTCTGCAATGATGGATTAAATGCCAAAATAATGAAACCACATATCTTAAAAAATATACCGAAGAATAGATGTTTTCTGATGAATTTCACAAAAATATCATATTTTAAAAATACTTTAAGCAATTCATAGTATTACTTTTTAATCTGCTATAGAAGCACCATGAATCTAGTCTGTTGTGGCTCATTAGCAATTTCTTTAATGAGTTTTTTGGTGTGATAGATAGTTAAAGTAACAGACAAATGACAGATTGTTTGCCTTTAATGATTTCCCTGTTTCAAGCCCATTACAAAGCAATTAGAAATCTGACAGCATTTTCACTCTGCATTACTGATCATCTAAAGTGATGAGGAATGAGAGGTGGTGAATATTAATTGTATATTTTCATATGATTATCATAAATTATTACCTTGTCTGATGTGCTGCAGGTGAAGCAGGAGCATTAGAGAAAGGCAGTCAGATATATTAATTTGAAAGACTAATATTTTAAAAAAATCTTTGTAGTATAAATCCTAGTCTGCAATGTTAGTCTTTATGAATATTCCTCTATCACTATTAACTATTTTTAGTTTCTATTATATTTGGGGCAACTGAAGTTTTCTTTCTTTTTTTCTTTTTGAGACGGAATCTCGCTCTGTTGCTAAGATGAAGTACAGGTATACTGGTCTCAGCTCACTGCAAACTCTGCCTCCCAGGTTCAAGCAATTCTCCTGCCTCAGCCTCCTGAGTAGATGGTACTACACGCACCCACCATCACGCCGGGCTAACTTTTGTATTTTTAGTAGAGACAGGGTTTAACCATATTTGCCAGGCTCATCTCAAACTTCTGACCTTTTAATCTGCCCACCTAGGCCTCCTGAAGTGCTAGGATTACAGGCATGAGCCACTGTGCCCAGCTGCAACTGAAGTTTTCTTATTTGAGTACAAGAAAAGGAAAGATTATTCCATAGTACAATGAACCTATATGTATTTAAATTTAGGATCTTAAAAATCTGTAAATTTTATTGATTTATATATTACATATATATAATAATATTCAGAAATTTCAGTATAGAGAAAGATACTCTTAGAAATACGTCATAAGTTAGTCTTGGTTAAAGTCAGGTAATCCTGCAAAAGAAGTGGTAAGGAAGTGTACCCAAATGTAGAATGAGGTATTTCTAGGTCCCCTGTAACAGTTCTTTTGATCTTAGCCCACAATATATCCTGTTTTTCCAGTTTCTTGCCTCAGGTAGTAGATGGGGCTAAGATTGTCATCAGGATGGAAGTGCTGTTGTTACTTGTTTCCTGCCTTGGATTTGGAGCAAGTGCTGGTCAAGGAACTAGATACAGTAAGAATTACCAAACCTAGAGCACTTTAAATGATTACAGGCTGGGTGCAGTGGCTCACACCTGTAATCTCAGCACTTTGGGAGGGTGAGGCAGGTGGATCACTCAAGGTCAGGAGTTCAAGACCAGCCTGGTCAACATGGTGAAACCCTGTATTTACTAAAAATACAAAAATTAGTTGGGTGTGGTAGCACATGCCTGTTGTCCCAGCTACTCAGGAGGCTGAGGCAGGAGAATCTTTTGAACTTTGGAGGCAGTGGTTGTAGTGGGCTGAGATAGTGCCACTGTACTCCAGCTGGGTGACAGAGCAAGCCTCTTGTCTTAAAAAAAAGATTAGAAATATGTTTGGTTCAACTTTACTAACATAAATTAGTTTATATGTTACTGTCTCTCTAAAGATAGGTATTAGTTGGTAATTGATACGTAATGAGTTGAGTTGAATTTCTTTCTACTAATGAGGATGTGTCTCCATTAAGTCCTCCCTTTGAACCTTTTTGCTCTGGTTTGGTCTATGAAATTCCATCCCTTGCAGTTGCGTGCCATCTTGGATCCATCTTTATGGATCTTTATTTATGAAGAAGGTTATATGATTATAAATCAATAAAATGGATTTTTACATGCTGCTTTGAAACCATTCTTTTTATTTTATATTCAATTGTGTGTGTTTGCATTTTATATATACTTAAAGTAAAAGTGTTAGGTCTTCACAGATGAAGTTTTTGTGTTTTGGAAAGTTGAGAACCATCTAAAATTAATTTCATATTTACTGAGGGAAAAGTTAGGTATTGTAATATAAAAGCAAATTATCAGTAAAAAGCATTCCATCTCTAGCATTTGGTAGCCCTATTAATAATCTTTGTAGTGGGTAAGATTTCCAAATGTATTAATTACTCTCCATATCTGGTGACCTCCCCAGGTTTTGCATCACAGGGACCTCCTTTATCTGTAGAGTAGGTCCAACTAACATACACATTATGGAATCAGAATGGTGATTCCAAATCCCCTCAACTCTTTTCTGATGGTATTCCTTACCTTAGTGTTAATCTAGACTTTTAAGTCGATCCTTTCTACAGCCCAACCAATGATCCTTTGCTTCTCTTTACACTTCTAAAATACCACTAACCAACATAGCTACAGTAGTTTCCTCTTATCAGTGGTTTTAGTTAACCATGGTTAACTGCAGTCCAAAAATAGGTAAGTACTGTAAAATGAGATATTTTGAGACAGAGAGAGAACACAGACACATAACTTTATTACAGTATATTCTTATAAATGTTCTATTTTATTATTAGTTCTTTGCTGCTAATCTCTTACTGTGCCTAATTTATAAGTTAAACTTTATCATATATACAATAGGAAAAAACATACTATATGTAGGGTCTAATACTGTACTGTATACACTTTCAGGCACCCACTGGGGGTCTTGGATCATATCCCTTGCAGATAAGCAGAGGGGGGAATACTGTGCTTGACTTTTGGCCAAAGTCTCCACTTCTTTCTTTAGAGGAATTGGTTTGGAAAACTTACATATTTTTCCTATGACAGGGAACAGCTCTCCATACCTCAGTATGTATTAATAGAAACCTGGGC